AGACACATGCAGCCACATATTTCTGTACTTACATACGTATTCACGACTTGATTGGCTTCGTTTGAGAAATTGCTTTACCTGTTACCGGATGAATATATGTACATACCATTGCATTAGTTTCCTTCTTTGTGGCCAATAGAATTTTTGTTTCCGAGATTTTCAATTAATGGCATAAATGTGCAATAGCAAAATTAATCCCTATTGCATTATGGTATAATAGATGCAAAAAAAAAATGTCTTTAACCCAGCAAACATTTGGAGTCATATGTGAGTATTTAATGAGACCTATTTCGGAGCCATTATTTAATTTCGTAATGTTCTCATTTGAGAGTCCGATATGTGTGTGTTTCCCTTCCTCCGAAGGTCGACTTACAGTGAGTAACGAAACGAAAAAAAAAATTAATTCATACATCAAATTAGCCTCAATATAAGTCATATTGGACTCTTACTGGCCTCACATATGGCTCATTTTGGACTCTTTTAAAACAATTATCGGGTTCATATTTATATGAATCATTTCAGACTCTTTTTCTTTTGAGGCTCTTATCGGCCTCATAAATTACTACATTCGGACTCTTATTTAAGGCTGTTCTTTGGGGCTTATTTNGAATCATTTCAGACTCTTTTTCTTTTGAGGCTCTTATCGGCCTCATAAATTACTACATTCGGACTCTTATTTAAAGCTGTTCTTTGGGGCTTATTTAACGCACTATATTTGCAAAGGCATTCAGCAAAAGTTCCTTTCAAATAACATACATACATACATACTTACGTGCATATACACATAACAACGTGCATTCAATTATCAGCAGCTGTATGTAGCTAATTTTTTCAATTTTTTTTTAGTTATTTTCAATTTCTGTATAAAAAAGTCTAGATATAAATTTCAAATCATGATAGTTTTTGTATTGGCACAAGGTTCTGGCTCATAACTTGGATCACATATGAATCCTGAAAGATTCATATAAGAGTAAACAATTTTTTTTTTTTTAATTCACATTTCTTACCTAGCTAGGACTCCTTTCAGACTCATATATTCTGAAAGCTCAGAATATGTTTGCGGGGAATTAATTTCATTGTAAATAAGTATTTCATCTAAAGAATACTTACAAGTAAAAGATTTTGATAGAAAAGACCTATAAAAAAAAGCAAAATAAAATAACGACATAAGCGGGAAAAGGTACTAGAAATAGCTAAAAACGCAAAACAAGGCACTAAAAAATACAAAAACTGAAAAATAACACAGGTTTACAGGAACAATGTTCAACGGCCGCTACTATCCAATTCCTATATAGAATTGCTCGCTGGTTCCGAAAATTTAGTTAATTTTTTATTCTATGGATAAGTTTATATATAATTTAAGATGTACATGGCGTATGAGTAACATTCTTTGCTGCTCATTTTTCATACAAAAAAAAATCTTTGTGCATTTTCATATGACCATTTATCACTTGTTTATTTATCCATCGAATTTCTTCATTATCAACTACCTTTTTTTTAACAGACCAGGTTTAAACACAGCTTTGAATATACTAAACGTGCCTTCGACGTGAGTTGATACAAGTGGCGCCCAATTTAAATATGGAACGTTTAGAAAAAAATAGGCAACATCAAATGTGTATATATGGAATCAGGGAAAGCTAAATTGTGGACATTCTTAATCGAATATCTCTATCTCTTTAGGAGAAAAAAGGTAATTTCTGCTGAATGAGCTTCGTATACTCTCTTTGCATGCAGCGATGGCGTTCCCTATCCGTCTGAAAGTTAGTCGAGATAGCCCGGCTGAGAAGTTTTTTCGACTCAACCTTCGATTCAGGAAGCTCCTTGTTCCATCAGGAAACGATCCTTATCCGAGCTATCACGGTGGCCAGCAGTTAAATTAACTACTGNATTTCAGCGACGATGTGAGATAGGGCCTTTCTATATTAAGGCAACGATACTCTCTTTGCATGCAGCGATAGCGTTCCCTATCCGTCTGAAAGTTAGTCAAGATAGCCCGGCTGAGAAGTTTTTTCGACTCAACCTTCGATTCAGGAAGCTCCTTGTTCCATCAGGAAACGATCCTTATCCGAGCTATCACGGTGGCCAGCAGTTAAATTAACTACTGCCCCATCAATAGCTTAAGTGGATCATATTCCAGGTGGCACCTTGGTGTGGTTCCCAAGCTCATAGAAAATAGCATCCTCGCCAAGTGGTAACTCGATTTACCTGTGGTCTAAAAGCGAATCTTCACTCAAGACTCAGTTTAGGAACCGAGAGTTGAAACGGGTAAGATCAATGACTTCTGTCTTGTAGTCATAACAAACGTTAGGTTGGTGTCCACTTGACAGAGTATACCCGAAAAGCCCCTAACTCCTCGTGTTGCATTTTCTGCTACACCAGATTTTATTTTAGAATAGCCGCCTTCACCTTGAAGCTCAACCTTGCTGCAGTGACAGCAGCACTGCGCTAGCCTGCCCACACCTACGAGCGTTGGCTGCAAGGCGGAAGGCAACGACGGCTCGGATCACATGGCTCTTGCAGTAGGTATTTAATTTCTGAGTCGGACCCATCCTCCCATGTACGGCAATAAGCGGATGACCTTTTACGGTCTCACAACAGGTTTTTCGGGCTCCCAGACATCCTGACGTTGGTGAAAAATTTTGGTGCTGTGAGGACATATGATTCGGCATCGACCAACCCTTTGCATCGCATCTACACTTCGTTATACCCTATTTTCCATCACTGTCCTCGAGTGTTTGCCGCAATATCAGAATCGGGTAACACCACACTATGACTCGAAGAGGCATTGGGGTGGGCATTAGTAGATGTTGCTGCAATTTTCCTCCTTTTTCAGGGCCGGCAGATTTGAATGCTGATGCATCCACAAAGGTCCCAACAGCTTCTGAAATAAGCTTCTTCAACGTGGGTCATTTACTGGATGCAGCGACAGGAGGAGTTCGACTGGCCATAGAAGACGGTTTCCCCTGCCTGCCTTTTGCCCTCCGATCCTTCTGCCTTCTCCTCCTCTTCTGGGGTGTGAAAGAAAACCAATTCCATCATGGGAGGATCCTTGGCAGCGAGCTACTTGACAATTTTCATCGTCTTCCAAATTCTGAAGAAGAGTGATATTACCTCGCCCTCTCCTCCATACTTTGGCAATGTTTGCGGCAATAGTTTCTCCTTCCGCAGATGTGAACAGATTTCTACACTTGTGGGTACCACCTGGAATATTATAATCTCAACTTTGTGCATTACCATACTGTGCAGTTTTGCCCCAAGCTTCCATAGTTGGTGGGTATTTCAGAAGGTATTTTTCCTGTCGACGCAGCCACACAAAGTTGGATATTAGTCGCGGGTGTACTCTCGCGCCTAGCCCGCCGGCAATCTTCCTTAATTAAGTAAGAGTATACAAAATAAAAAAAGCATCCAAAAATTAAGATACTTAATTTTTGTGGACCTTTTATTTAAAAGCTTAAGTTTAAACAATGATGGCAGAATTCTGAATTCATTAAATATTATTCTGCAACCGCAAAAATTTGTTGACCGCCGAAAAGTTTTTGACTCAACCGACCTCGCTTACTTTGCAATTGCTAATTAATTGGAAAATAACTTAATTGAAAATGTACCAAGCAACGCGTATCCTCCATCACAAAAATGCCAACAGCAACGGATGTCGGACAACTCAAGCAGACAACAAAAGCATACCACTAGCCACGCGCAATAAATTCAAACTCATCCTTATAGCCAAAGTAATGTTTGTAAATAGGGCATTTATTAAATTTTAATGGCCATGACAGCGCATAGCCAGTTCACTGTTTGGCAAACTGACTGCTAAGACAAGCTTTGAGCTTAACCATAAACTAACCAATTATATACATACATACATAGTTGCCGTTACCCTGATATGTGCTTGACATAAGCATCAACAGCTGGAGGCTTTTACGAAACTGCCAAACTCTGCACGACGGCGTGGCTCAAATGAATTGGCAGCCCCGCAATAGCCGAGGAGGATAAAGTACGTTGGCCAAGCGATGGCTAGCCAAGTGGTTGGATAAACTCATCACTCAGCTGTCGTTTTGGCATTTGGACGCTCATTTGTCTGCCCAAGCCAGTATAAAAGCACACTTATAATTCAAGATATTTCATTCCAGCATTTAGCAGCCTACATCCATAATGTTGCCTTGTAACCACTGTTGCCCCTTGTGTCAGCTTTTGTATTTACAGTTAACTCTAAATATTTAACCGACCTTAAGGGCATATTCCTAATCAATTTATTTAATTTCCAAATATTTTTGTTATGATTAATGTGGCGCAAAATTTTGATTTTCAGTGGTCAGCAATCATAACAGCAAAAACTGACACATAAAATTACTTAGTTGCAAACAATGTGTTGACAAAATGCTTTTTTGCGGTTAAATTTTGTAGAATTTGAGGTGGGTTAATTCATTACGATTTTGGCAGAGGTGAATATCAAACACAAATCAGGGAAGAAGATATTATTGGGCCGTGATTTAATATGGAAAAATAATAAAACGGGTTTTAGTATGAAAACGGATTCTACATATTTAAGCTTTTAAAACCCAGTTAATAGTGTACTTTTTTGTTGAGAATTTATAACACTGCAGAAATCGGAAGCCAAATAACTTCTTAATAATACATTGGCGCTTACACATATGTTAGTGTTTGGCCAAGCTTCTCCTCCGATTTGTGGCGTGCGCCGTGATGTTGCCACACAAAGCGGAGGGACCTACAGTTTTACGCCGACTCCGAACGGCGATTGTATTTTTATGAGAAGCTGTTTTTCATGGCAGAAATACACTCGGAGGTTTGCCATTGCCTGCCGAGGGACGACCGCTGTTAAGAAAAACCTTTTTTCTATATTTTTGCGATGTTGCTTTGACCAGGGTTTGAACCCAGGCATTGTGGAGTGGAAGCGCGCACTGCTTACCACTACACCACAGCGGCCGACAATAACTTCTTATGCACATATAATTATGTTCTATTGAATGTACTACGGATTTCTGAAACGGTATACGGTTACACACGAATGCCAACCTTATGTACGGAAATTACTTATTAACCAAGGGCTCTTAAAATTGCACTCCACAAAAAACATTACTCTTATTTAATAGAGAGAAATCGAGGAAAAACATGGTGCACATATAATTCCTTTACTAAGGTATATTTCCACAAGAATTTTTTAGGTTTCAAAATCACTGCCAACAGTTGACATGGTCTTGCTGTATAATATTTTCATTCTGCTCTCATATTTTTCATATATTTGTATGCGAGTTTAGGTATTATGCGAGTTTAGGTATTACTAAACGCTTTTACCATGAGCTATACCGTAATTTGTGTGGTATTACGTACTTGGAATATGATGATGAGCGGAAGAAACTTCAAAGAAAAATTACAGGAAGGAAGATGTTTGCAATATTATTATTTAGTTGTTTTTTGCATAAGCTTTATTTTTGTTCTCCTTCTCATTTCGTTGTCTTTGTCTTTGTCTTTGTCTTTGTCTTTGTCTTTGTCTTTGTCTTTGTCTTTGTCTTTGTCTTTGTCTTTGTCTTTGTCTTTGTCTTTGTCTTTGTCTTTGTCTTTGTCTTTGTCTTTGTCTTTGTCTTTGTCTTTGTCTTTGTCTTTGTCTTTGTCTTTGTCTTTGTCTTTGTCTTTGTCTTTGTCTTTGTCTTTGTCTTTGTCTTTGTCTTTGTCTTTGTCTTTGGGAGAAGGAAACAGTTACTTTACTACCAGTTTCCTTACATAACTGTACTAAAATTAACTTTTAATTTTATTTTTATTCTTTTTTTGTGAATTTCCGAAAGATTTAAAACTCTGAGGCGGCGAAAACTTTACCCACAGGTAGTTATAAAAATTTCTTGTCAGTCATTACACTATGTCAGATCTTTCCTACCTCCTCTTAATTCCCATCCATACTCTTGCGCTTGTGGTCATCAATCAAACGATAAGCATTATGTATTGACAATTACAAGTGTGCCAACAAGCGTCTAACTATTTATTAACAACTTTGTCTGACCGGCGGAAGTTAAACACTATGTACATACATACATACATACATACATACGTACCCGCATATTTACCACCGATACTCTTCTTGCGATGCGTTCCTCTATAGTTGGTGCTTTTTTGATCGACGCCTCCAACATGCTTGACACTTGCTGATTGACATTTCAAGTTAGCGCGTGTGATAAAAACAATAAAAGTGTCCGCCATCACAATAGCCTAAAACAATGCCAACAGCAATGGCGAATTAGAATGATTGATTGTTCACTTTTGGAGGGAAGGTACGCGCGATTTTCCTTGATCAATTAACTTAATGGCTGTGTTGTTGTCGTATACGCTGTGGCAGGCCTAAATGATTATTAGAATTTTTTTGATATCGCTAGTAAATAAGAGGAAATTTTCTTAAAGGAAAATTCTGTTAAAATATTTTTTTATTTAAATATTTGCTACCCAAAGGACTTAAAAATTAAAATTGAAATTTCAAATCAAAAAATCTATATTTTTTTCATGTTATTTTACGGAACATTAATAGAAATTAAACTAATTTTGGAGCCACACATTTCGACAATGTTTTTATTGTTTTGCAACAGTTTGAAGCAAAGATTGAGCAATTAAAACAAGACATGAATGTACATTAGACCGTACTAGATCACAAAAAGTTCACCGTACACCTCCGAATCTAAAGTATTTTTGCAAGGAAAATTCAATTTTTTTTTTTGTCAAACATTGTGTTCGCCTTTAAGTACTCCCTTCTAGCTTCAATTTACTAATAATAACTCGGATCCTCTGGATGTGTACTAGAATGGGGTACTTGAAGTCAATGATCGTTGCAACAAAAAAAATTTCTCCTCGAGATAAGGCGGCGACCCATACAATTGGTGAGAAAAAAATAATAGTTTTCGAAATTGTCCTACACAAATACCTAAAATTCAAATGTGTATACAAATTATTTTTATTTGCTTGTAAGGTCTAATGCAAGTATACAAAACAATTTTTTTTTTACATTTTTACGCGCTAATCGATTTTGACTCCAAATTTTCAGAAAGTCTTAAGTGCTGTGAACTTCGCAGGAGGATTTATGCGCCATCAGTCCGAAAGCGGAGATAACAACGAGAAGAAGCCTTCATAATGTAGTAATTGAAATTATAAGTGAAAGCCAAGCATCATTTGAGCCACTGAGGTAAAATTAACCTTAGTTTTGAAAAGAGACTTGGGTTTCGTTCACATGTCAGGCGCTTAATGCGGATTATTACAAACGGTTGTCATGAGAGTAGGGTCTGAATGCTATAGACAAGCAAAACAATATTAACCCTTATAGTTCTGGCCAAACCATATTGATTTTTGAAGCAAATTTTAGTAAGTTTTAATTCGGATTGATACACCATGATATCCTTGGTTATTTCTGTAGAAATTAAACCTTAAATATAAGAACAAAAATTACACAACAAACAAGTAACAATTACTACAACATGCACATTAGAATGGTCCAAATTTGTATGGGGAAAATCGTAGAAAATGGGCACACCCTTCGTTTTTTCCTTTTTAAATATATTTGTAATATCTTACCAACTTTAAATTTTCTACTGTAACCCAACCCATCTCGGAAAAATTTTTTTTTACCATTAAACATNTCTAATGCAAGTATACAAAACAATTTTTTTTTTACATTTTTACGCGCTAATCGATTTTGACTCCAAATTTTCAGAAAGTCTTAAGTGCTGTGAACTTCGCAGGAGGATTTATGCGCCATCAGTCCGAAAGCGGAGATAACAACGAGAAGAAGCCTTCATAATGTAGTAATTGAAATTATAAGTGAAAGCCAAGCATCATTTGAGCCACTGAGGTAAAATTAACCTTAGTTTTGAAAAGAGACTTGGGTTTCGTTCACATGTCAGGCGCTTAATGCGGATTATTACAAACGGTTGTCATGAGAGTAGGGTCTGAATGCTATAGACAAGCAAAACAATATTAACCCTTATAGTTCTGGCCAGACCATATTGATTTTTGAAGCAAATTTTAGTAAGTTTTAATTCGGATTGATACACCATGATATCCTTGGTTATTTCTGTAGAAATTAAACATTAAATATAAGAACAAAAATTAAAAAACAAGTAACAATTACTACAACATGCACATTAGAATGGTCCAAATTTGTATGGGGAAAATCGTAGAAAATGGGCACACCCTTCGTTTTTTCCTTTTTAAATATATTTGTAATATCTTACCAACTTTAAATTTTCTACTGTAACCCAACCCATCTCGGAAAAATTTTTTGTAACCACTAAACACATTTTATATTTAATCGCTTATTCTTATCAAATTAGCAAATTATATCTGATTTTCTATATCAGACCGATTCTGAACAGAAACTCTCTGGGAGTTTTCTATCTTTTGCCTTTCCTCCTATCATGAATAAAAATTCTCCGAGGATTTTTTATATTAAATGGCGGAGTTGAGCTCTCAAAAAAGTGTCAAACAAAAAGCTTTTTCGAAGTTCGAATTTCCTCCTCCCAAGTTTTCGGGGAAAACAAGAGAACAAACTCCCCGGGGGTATTAAGAATTGGGCTATATATTTTTTATGGAACTCTGGGCAGACTCTGCGAGTGTCATAAATGCAAAGTGCATACCACTGGGTGGCAACATAAATGTTAAGCTTATTTAGATACAACGCCACAAAGTCATTGGGAGTAATAAAGAAGCAGACAGGTTAGTCAGTAAGGCTGCGGCTATTTCGTTCCTGAGCCAATCTTTTCTGTACGCCAATACACTATCAACACCACATCTCACTTTTTGCAATTTACTCGACATTCGAGTCAAACGGACTTCATATTTGGATTCAGTGGGTCGAAATGCATATCAACCTACCGGATCTGGTTAAAAGCACACCCCACTTTTTTGTGTGCCGGTGGAATTAACCGATTCAAATGTGAAAGTTTGTGAATACGTTTGTTCATCTTTCACCCTGAGACGGACGGATTTTAATTAAATTTGGCTCGCAGATAGGTCTTGAACTGGGTTAACATACAAAAATACGTTTCGGTGCCATACTCAGAAGTTGTAGTTGTAATTTTTAGAGCTTCACAAAAACGTTTATTTCAAAGTAAAGTATGGTGTTTTAAAGATAAGATTCCAAGTTTATCGAAAAAATTCGTTTTTGTAAGTGATCAGTTCGGTTTCTGTCGTAGAAACAACGGTAAATATTGGCTTATTTTGGGGGCAATTTTGAGCCTTTAAAGTGCTCTGGTAACTTGGGTTTGGTAGATATGACCTATAAAAGAAAGTTAGCAATGTAGTGTAAAGGTATTTATACTGAAATCGCCAACTTAATTGAAATTCGACACATTGACCATGTTCTAAAGCCCAGAGAAAATAAGCACACTCGTTTCTATGATGAAACGATATTTTTAAATAAATTAGTTTTTAAGCAGAAAACAAACCCGGCTTCAATTGTCATATAAAAATTTAATATTTTAGTTAATTTCTTCAATTCTTCAATTGCAATTCTGGTCCAATGATCATAAACCAAAATAATAAGGAACCAACTGTGAGGTAACATCTTTCATCTAAAAAAAGAATTATAGAAATCGGTTAACATGGTCCAAAAAACATTCCGACGAATTGATAACCTTTCTCCTTTATGTAAAGTCGGTTAAAACAAAAAAAAAAAAAAATAGACAAAATCATAGCATTTTTATTTGGCAACACTACGAGCGCCTACCCCTGTATATATACATATATATAAATATAAATAGTGTGGTATAGTACAGGCATATAACATTTGTATGTCTATATCAACCATTCCTCTATTAAAACCACAAAAAATGAAATAGTCAAAAACAAAATCATATAAAAAATAAAAATTATTCCTATTTCTATGCTAAAGTTTCCATTTTTGGTGAAGCTGAAACCTATTTAAATACTTCTGGTTGTATGATTTTATTTATTGGCTTATCCAATACGCAATTAGAATTGACATGTTCAAATCATCAATAAAAGTTAGAAATATATTTTACACGAAATATAACTTCCAATAAATAAGAATTCATTGCGCGTATCGCGATTGTGAGTGATGGAAAATTTTAAATTTGAAAGCATACATGCATGTGCATACATTCCCTGCAGGAAAATCGACAATTAGTGCAACAAATTTTTGGTTCATAACTAGAAGACCGCATAAACTTCGAACCGCCTGCGATTAGTGGCATCTATTTTCGAGCGAGATTTTTGCAGTGCCAAATCTTAAATCTACTCTCGCACTTGTCGCCTGTGGCATCGGGTTAAGGTTACATACATTTTACGATTCTTGTCTACGGAAATTCAAAATTTCCAATCAAATAAAATTATTTAAATTCTAAGTTAGAATTGCTGATTAATCAAAAAACAAAGCGTAGTAGCAAAAATTTGTTTGATCCGGCTTCAAAATTCGCTACGAGTAATAGCGTGCCATCTATTACTCAAAAGTAATGTAGATCATAGTATCTCAAAATTGTAGAATTCAGAACTGTTTCTGCATTATCTATAGCGGGGTGGAAATTTCTAATTCCCATAATCACACTCTGTTAAAGTAACCAGATATCTTGAGTTTTCATGGTTCTATGCATAGACTAACCACGTCAGAGCTACAGATTTTTCCTACAGAGTATTAACACATGCGAGAAAATGCACAAAGATGGCCTGTGAACGCCTCAGTGCATCAACGAAAAGAACAAAAACTGCAATGCAAACAGTTTTCCTATTTTAGTAACCTTTTCAAATCGATTTTTTTGTGTGTAAAATTTTTGGTTTTCTTTTGTTTCATTTTTTTTAGTTTTTCATTTCGAATTCAAACCACAACATGCCCATAAACTGACGTAGCCCGTACTAAAATATGATTCAGTACACGATTAAATAATGAACGGTTTTGGAAGCAAGACTCGCTATAACTTTATCAGCTACGCTCCCACGTGACTCCATCGAAAGTTTCAAAAAGTTTTTGTTCTTGATTCGCTGTCGACAACAATGATCTCTTTGGATGGTGAGTCCTTAAATCAATATCGTACATTAGATTTGTCAGTATATTTCTTCCTAACACTTCCTACAAAGTAACACAGAAGTCCTTCTTCGTCGAAACTGTTATTTGCTGGCTTCCAATGCGGCTGAGCGTTTAAACACTTCAACAGTTAGCAACCACTAATACTACAAAAAATATTTCCTCAAAAGTATTAGAGCGACTATAAAAAAAAAAAATATATAAATTTCGCGTTGTCAATTCGACGAAGAAGTGTCGCCTAGACTTAATAAATCCAGGTATGGGATATAAAGAGAACGTTGAAAGTATTATCTCAGCAATGCGGCTGGTTGGTTTGCTCAATATTTTTATACCCGAGCGCACTTGTGCACAAGGGTATTATAACTTTGTTCACATAACGGTTGTTTGTAACAGGCAAAACGAATCGAGATAGATATAGACAAATGTATACATAAATGATCAGAATGAAAAGAGAAATCGATTAAGCGGTGACTGTCTGTCCGTCCGTCCGTCCGTCCGTCTGTGCACACGATAACTCGAGTAAAAATTGAGATATCTTAACGAAACTTGGTACGTGAACTTCTTTTGGGCGTGGGACGGATGGTATTGAAAATGGGCGAAATCGGATAATAACCACGCCTACCTCCCATATAACGGTAATTTTAAGAAATACGAAAACTGCGATATTTTAGTAACTACTGAAGATAATTCACTCAAAATTGATATTTACAAT